CATCCCCTGCTCGCCGTCAATCTCGTTCGCCCCCACAACGCCGTCCTGCCTCTCCGACCTATTCGCAGCGCCCCCGACCAAAAAACTAGGCAGTGCAGCTTCTGGAGGTGAAGCTGCATTGACGACGACCTCTGCAAGAAATCCTCGTGTAACATTACCGACCACCAGGAATCTGTTGAACGTTACTTTAGACAATGTACCTGTGCGCGCGTTGATCGATACCGGCGCGCATGTGTCCATAATGAGTGCTGCTCTTCGTCGCCGCCTAAAGAAAGTTGTCACACCCGCCTTGAACCGAGCCGTTCGAGTCGCCGACGGGGGAACTGCCGCGATTATTGGCATGTGCTCTGCCCGTGTGACTATCGCCGATAGAAGCACTGCTGTTCTTTTCACCGTTATAGAAAATTGTCCTCATGAAGTAATTCTAGGCATGGATTTTCTAATCGCTCACTTGGCCCTTATAGATTGTTCAGCTGGCTGTCTTGACCTTGAAATGCCTTTACTTTCTGATCTGACCAACCCACCCCAAAGTCGCCTTTGCTGCATTGATTTCGCACGCCTTCCGCCTAACTGTGTCACACATATCGACCTCTTCTCTACACCACCTGTACCTGACGGCGATTACATAGTGGCACCAATTCATGCCGTGATGCTTACGCATGGCGTCGCTGTTCCTCACACCATTTTGACAATCGTTGAAAACCGCACATGCCTTCCTATTGTCAATTTTGCCCTCACTGCCCAAATTCTTCCACAAGGTATCTCCCTGGCCGAAATTACTGCTCTACAAGACCATACGGTTGAACCCTTCAGAGTGGATGATTGCTGCACCTCAGACAATGAACCAACTCTATCACGTTCATCGGGCGTCGACGTTGACCACATGGTACCATCAGACCTCGCTCCTGATCAAGCGGAAGCCCTTCGTCACGTCCTGGAGTCCTATAGTGACATTTTCGACTTCGCCAGCACGGCTTTAAGCCGAACGAGTGTTGTTACTCATCGCATCAATACCGGTGACGCGAGTCCCATTCACCGACGTCCATACCGTGTTTCCGCGTCCGAGCGCACAGTCATACAACAGGAAGTCGAAAAGATGCTTGCAAAAGACATAATCGAACCCTCTTGTAGCCCCTGGGCTTCTCCTGTCGTCCTGATCAGAAAGAAGGATGGAACATGGCGCTTTTGTGTAGATTATAGGCATCTCAACAAAATTACGAAGAAAGATGTTTATCCGTTGCCTAGAATCGACGATGCCTTAGGCTGCCTTTACGGTGCTACGTATTTTTCCACTATCGACCTTCGATCTGGCTATTGGCAGATCGCTGTGGATGAGATGGACCGTGAGAAGACCGCATTCGTCACTCCTGACGGGCTTTATCACTTCAAAGTTATGCCCTTTGGTCTCTGTAATGCGCCGGCCACATTCGAAAGAATGATGGACTCGTTGCTCCAAGGGTTTAAATGGTCAACCTGCTTATGTTATTTAGACGACGTTATCGTTTTCTCGCCCACATTCGACTCCCATCTCAAGCATTTATCGGCGATTCTTGAAGTTTTTCGTCGAGCCGGACTTCAACTGAACTCGTCGAAATGCCACTTTGCTCGTCGTCAAATAACCGTACTTGGCCACATCGTCGATGCCGCAGGAGTCCGCCCGGATCCCGAGAAAATTCGCGCCGTCATGGACTTTCCTGTTCCGAAGTCAACAAAGGACGTTCGCAGTTTTGTGGGCTTGTGCTCCTACTTTCGACGGTTTGTTAAGGACTTCGCCATCATTGCACGCCCACTCACAAACTTCCTGAAGAAGGACACCCTGTTTTTCTGGGGCGCTGATCAAGCCTCATCTTTTTCCCAGCTCACGACGCTCCTTACAACACCGCCGATTTTAGCCCATTTCGATCCATCAGCTCCAACCGAGGTTCGCACTGACACTAGTGGGCATGGCATCGGGGCAATGCTAATGCAACATCAACGCGGACATGACCGTGTTATCGCATATGCAAGCCGCCTGCTATCTACAGCCGAGCGCAACTATTCTATCATGGAACGTGAATGTCTCGCTCTCGTGTGGGCAGTCGCCAAGTTTCGCCCATACTTATACGGGCGTCCATTCCGGGTAGTCACCGACCATCACGCGCTCTGCTGGCTGGCCTCACTCAAGGATCCCACAGGACGCCTCGCTCGTTGGTCCCTACGATTACAAGAATACACGTTCACCGTAACGTACAAAACAGGGTGGTCACACCAAGATGCTGATTGCTTATCGCGCTACCCTGTGGAAGAGGCTGCCCATACTGACACCTTTCCAGACCTTCTGTCTGTGACGCAGCTACTCAACCTTGGGCACGAACAACGCCTGGATGCTTCCCTGCGAACCATCATTGGCAAACTTGAGTCAAGGCCTCGCGACGCATCTCTACAATTGTTCCTGGTAAAAGACGGCATCCTGTATCGCCGTAACCTCGATCCATATGGCCATGACTTGCTCCCCGTCATACCAGCACATCTTCGTGCGACTGTTCTCAACCAACTTCATGACGCTCCTTTGGCGGGCCACTTGGGCGTCTCTCGCACATATGACCGTGTACGTCGTCGTTTCTTTTGGCCTGGTCTTGCCCGCTCTGTTCGACGCTACGTCGCCGCTTGTGAACCCTGCCAGCGCCGCAAAAAGCCATCTTCCCTACCAGCTGGATTCCTTCAGCCGATCGACATTCCCATTGAACCTTTTTTTCGAGTAGGCCTCGACCTGCTTGGCCCATTCCCGATCTCCAGCTCAGGCAACAAATGGATCGCTGTCGCCACTGACTATGCGACACGGTACGCTATCACACGAGCACTTCCGAGGAGTTGCGCAACCGATGTGGCGGACTTTCTGGTATATGATATTATTTTAAAACACGGAGCTCCACGCCAACTTCTCACTGACCGGGGCCGCACCTTCCTATCAGCTGTCGTTGATGAAATCCTGCGCTCTTGCTCTGCCAAGCACAAGTTTGCCACTTCGTACCATCCGCAAACAAACGGTCTTACGGAGCGCCTCAACCGCACCATAACCGACATGCTTTCTAAATACGTAGCGGCCGACCACCAGGACTGGGACGTTCATTTGCCATTTGTGACGTTCGCATATAATTCGTCACGTCACGACACTGCCGGCTATTCACCATTCTATCTTCTATACGGCCGAGAACCCGCCCTACCATTTGACACCTTGCTGCCCTCGGTCACGGAGTATGCCGGCGAAGCCATCGCGCGAGCCGACCACGCACGCCAACTCGCCCGCAGCCGCCTGCAGGCTTCACAGGAGCACCTAAGACAGCTCTACGATTCCCATCATCGAAACGTGCACTTTTCACCGGGTTCCCTTGTCCTCCTCTGGTCCCCCACTCGGCGTGTAGGGCTTTCTGAAAAACTGCTGTCACGCTACACTGGACCATACCGCGTCGTTCGCCAGGTGACTGACGTTACATACGAGATCGTTCCAGCCGATTCAACGTCATCATCGTCACCTTCGAGTGACATCGTGCACATAGCTCGACTCAAGCCCTATTACCCTCCTTCTACCGCATCCGAGTTGCTCAAGCACCGAGACGGTGCTTCTACTGCCGGGGGGTTATGATACACAACAGCCGGCACAGCCTGTCTGGAAGAAAGAGAAAGACGACGTTGGTGGCTGGTTGTTGATGAACTGTCGCCATCTTGTTCGCCGAGCACAGGTGCATCGTATTTAATTTATTTAATAAGTTACCCGTAACAATATATATATATATATATATATATATATATATATATATATATATATATATATATATATATATATATATATATATATATATATATATATATATATATATATATATATATATATATATAAGGGAAAGAAGTGTATACCTAAGGGCTCGTTTTTCCATGTTTTAACACAATATTAATGAGATCTAACAGACAGTAATGCCAAGGAATGAACAGGGGAAGTTATTAGAACCAATGGAATGTAAATAAGAGGAAAGAAAAGTGGATGAAAAATAACCAGCCGCTCACGGCTGGTTATATATATATATATATATATATATATATATATATATATATATATATATATAATATATATATATATATATATATATATTTCTAAACCATTAGGCCCCTTAGTTTTCGTTCTAGCACAGACACACGAAGTGTCACTCTCGATGCCGCTTAATTGTTTAGAAGTAAATGAGATCGGAACAGGAACTGGATCAAGAGATAAATGAAAGTAGCTTCTTAAGTTCTGTAATGCGTCCGTTACACGAAGTACATCGGATCGCGATAAAACCCGGTATAAATCTAGTTCTTTATCGTAATGGGCACGCTCAATTGCGCAAAACGAATCAATCGCGGCTCGTAGCCAGCCCACCACAGTTTGCGCACTTGCAAGGACTTAGATCCCACTCGCGCCCAATCGTGGTTGCGAACATTTGCTCCAAGTATTTAATACTCTAATTCTGGTCACTCGCAATGATGTTGAACCTGTCGTTGTCAGAACCTCCAGCGCTGGACTGTGCGTCTAACGTTTTCTAGGTTGGTATATTAAATTTCGCGCCAATGCACTCATTAAAGCCTTCGCTTGCCGCCGAGAGGTGTCCCTACAACCGAAACAAGAACCACTCGGCGGGCGCTCGTAGATGCTCTGAAAGTGCATGGAAGCGCTTGTACGAGTTAGTCTTTTTTTTATCAGATAAATTTGAAACGTATAGTATAAAGTAATCCACTCATTGTAATCAATCTTAATCCTCAACAGACGTACGCGTTCTTTATGCACAGCAAGTGCTCTCATCAATTGCTTGCATACGTATCCTAGTTTATGCTTTTATTTATTTTCAACAGATGGCGCAGTGATCGGTGTGTGGCAAAATTGAAGACAACGTTAGTAATGTCTTTAGAGGGCTGGTTGTAAGAGAGTGGCTCAGCTCGCTATATTGCAACGCCCTCATGCAGACGACGCCGGTTGCGGTTGCGGCCTTCTTTCCTATCGCAAGAACCCATCGCTCTGCTCCTGGCGATCGCGAAGAAAAACTCTTCTCAGTTTCGCTGCTGGCGTTAGAGTCGGTGCAGCTCGCGCGATCTCGCGTGCTAGCTGCGAACGTGTCGCCTGTACGCGCGTGCGTTCCCGTGTGTCTGTGCGTGTATGTTGTGTTTGTGCCTCACTCCCTGCTAACGGCTGGCTTGCTGGCGTGCCTCGTTGCCAGTCGGATTCGTAGTATTTATAAATTGTAGGATTTTCTTATTGTAGCTAATAGAAAGCACGATGGCGAGCGCTGGAAACCCACCTTTCCCTTTCCTGAGGAAATTCGTGACCAAGAATGAAGCCGTCAAGGAGTTCCTCGCCGAGTTTCTCGGCACGTTCATCCTATACGTAAGTGCGCGAATTTTTCGTTTTCTTAAATTTAATTTTTTCTCCGAACAACTTCGTCACTATAGCAATGTTTATGGAAAATTATGACTGTGTACTTATGTTGTGAGGAACATGCGAATTCCGTTATCCAATTTGATGTAGAAATGCCTGCTAAAAAAAGGCCTTTTGAATATTAAAGGTCCAAGTGGCTAAATCAGTAGTCGGTGAATTACGCCGAGGATCCGATGTAATGCATTTGTAAAGATGTAGGTGTTTCTTTGCGCTACGATGAATTATCTTTCTGTCTTCCTCTCATGTACTTTATGTGCCCTGGAAAAAGTTTAAGCATGGTTGGTCATTGTTGCATATTGTGGTTACTTGTGCAGAAATTTACTTGTGTCGATATTCTTTGATGTATGATAGATTTATACGTTTTGCATTCTAAATTCAAGTTTTTTCTACATATGCAAATTCTGAGTTTCATTTTTTTTTTAATTTTCGACGGGTCCGTTGAGTACGAAAAGCCACTCTTACTTCGTTCGGGTAGGTTTCAATTCAATTTGGAAATACTTTTATACTTCTGTGAGAAATACGATTTTCTGACCGCCCCGTTTTCCCTACATTAAAATTTTCTATTTCGCGTGTCGCTTGGTTCTACGATGTAGCGTTGTTCTACAGTGCGTGCATGTGTTCTTGTGTTGAATAAAAGAAAACAAATGGTTGATGTGCCCTTTACATAGGAATCGGTCGTTACACGAAAGTAATACCGGTCACCATGAACGTATCAGAAGCCTTGTTGGTGTTTAAAAACAAAAAAAAAATACAAATCAACACTCATTTCATACTGGGGTGTCGCCAAAGGGAGGGGGGGGGGGGCACGGGAGGTGTCCTTTCCTATATAATAGCCTCCCCCCCCCACCCCTTTTAGTAAAGAAAGCGTGACCCCGCTCCTGTTTCGGCAGCGCGCAGAATGACTAAGGGGTCTATATAACTTTTAAAATTCTTCTTTAACGCACCACAAAGCTCCCACAGAACCTCCGTGCGATAATTACGCATCCTAAAGGTCTAAGTCAGGGATCCTCGTTTCACGAAGCAATCTCTGCGCGAAACCTGAAATTATTCGTAAGACAATTACAAGCTTGTTTGCTTTCCGCCTGAAATGTCACTTGGCCTCAGATATAAGTCATACGCAGTGATCGAAAGCGTGTCTAAAATACTTCATAAAAAGCGAATCGAGCGTACGTGAGACATGAAATGATGACGAAGTGAACCAACGGGGCTATGGCATATATGGAGGGCAGGTATTGTATAGGATTTGGGAAACCTGCTTTCAACGTCGTTATATGATAACAGCAGTGCCTAATGCTCATCGCTCATGCGTAATTTTTTGTCTATACGGCCTCATGAAGTGTGACGCCCAAGGGACGACATTCAGCTCTCCCATAGTAGAGTGCCGAGTACTCTAAATCGTTAAGCACTTTTCAAAACGCAACGGGTTACCGTACGCAACTGGGGACGGCTTCCTGCTCTCCCGTAGTAGACTGGGTTCTCTAAATTGTTAAACACTTTTTCTAAACATACATGCCTTCGAAAACAGAGCTGCGGCGTTGGGTCATTCCATGCCAAGCGTCCCAACCATTTTGGCGTCCATCTCAAATGTATTTGAAAAAAAGAAAAGAGAGCTAATTTACTGCACTCAAAACAGTGAAACGGTAGAATATTTCCGAGAAAATTTTTTTGTCACGTGGCTGCTTTCTTAACTTCCCGGAATCGAATGGCGTTTGGTTCTTGTTTGAGGAAAAAAAAAATGATTTTAAAAGTACCGCTTCTTTATATATCAAATTTGGTTTACATGTTAAGAGAGGTTTTTGTATAAAGTGTTTGAAGCTCAGTAATATTAGTGCAATTATACTGGTGCATACGCCTCCAAGAATTCAGCCAAAATGTGTTATGTTCGCATTTCTTTCTATTGCATTTATGCACATTGTATGAATATCTGAGTAGTGAATACTTACTCCACAGAAAGTATATTTTGAGAAAAGAAATTTTTTACCCTTCTCAAGTTGCTAAACTTTACGAGAAAAAAAATCACAAACTTCGCAAAATCGTCATTTTTGTCCATATTGAGACGTAATTTGCACCATGTGGTGGTCCAATTGAAAATCACCTTTATTCTTATATGGAAAGCAAATAAACAGTTCTTTTCATACGGCAAATTTTATCATTACATTTTTTTGTTTTAAGGAAGAAAATAATTTTTGAACTTTATATTGGCACCTATCTTCCAATTTGGTCATACCACAGCTGCCACCTTGACATTCCCCATTGCCGTCAATGCACCGCGTCACCCACTGACCACCGACGCCTTCTTTTGGCGCAGCTATCCTTATGCAAGCTTTTAATTTATCCCATCTGGTCTTTTGGACATATAGCGTGGCATGACTCAGTGGGTATTACCGTGAGTTATCAATCCGAATAACTGTGCACTTGCTGCCAGTTACAGGCAATAAAACATTAGAAAATAAAACATTAGAAGTGATTGGAATAAGGAACGAAAGGAAAGAGAGACAAACTAATAAATGAAGCAAGTGAACTGGATTGTGTCCGCGGTGGTTAGCGAAGTGGTTATCTATAAATACTGAACTGAAACTATCAGAACGGGCTGTTGATTTTCCGAGTGCGGTCGTCTTGCGTTTCAGAGGAACCTCGAAAAGAAGAAGAAAATAAAATGCTTGCCAATCCGTACGTTCAACTCGGGAACAATTCGGGAACAGTGTGAGCAGAAACCTACTAAGACCAATTTTGTTTTTGCTCGAAAGGAAGCGCAACGTTAGCAGTAGTACCATATTTATAGAACGAGCACGCAAGCCTATACACCCCCTCCCCCCCCCAAAAAAGACCTCCTCCTCTCCATAATCATCAGCATAATCATCAATCATCATCGTCGTCGTCGTCATCATCATCTTCACAACTACCATAATAATAATCTTATTTATGTAACGCTCCCAAGACTACATAGTGCAAGTGCTAAAAAGAAAAAGCGAACATTACAGTGCCACGGTTTGGAATTTCAAGCCAGCACTATGGCTGTAAGAGACACCATAGTGGAGAACTCTTTTTTAATTTTGGACGTATGTCGCTCTGCTAACGTGCACTTAAGTTCAATGCACCTGAATGCATTTAAACTAGCGTCGAAATGTGGCAGCGGCGACAGGTAATCGAACGCGAGACCTGAACGCATAAACATATATATATATATATATATCTATATATATATATATATATATATATATATATAATATATAGTATATATAATATATATATATATTATATATATATATATATATTATATAATATATTATATATATATATATCTTGAAACGGGGTGTTGAACCAGCAGGAGTTGACTCGGCGAACGAAAGCTTTATTGAGCGCAAGGGCTAACTGAACGCAAGCCTGCGATCACAGCAAGTCTTCTTCCTTTTCTATATTCGAGCTCCATGCCCACTGCCCTCGTTACAATCACCCCGGGAAATGAGGGAGCCATCCTGGCGACCTAAGGACAGGTGTACACAGAAGGGTCATGGTATGGCTTGAGCCGAGAAATGTGTACAATTTCTTGTCCCCGACGGCGATTGTCCGGAGATGCATCCAGCGGCTCGACCAGGTAGTTGACAGGGGATGTTTGGCGTATAACTCGATAAGGGCCATGGTACCTGGACGAAAGCTTGTGGGAGAGTCCTGGAGGAGTAGAAGGAATCCATAACCACACCAGTGAGTTCGGTGCAAAGCTCATAGGCGTGGCTGATGCGTCGTGGTGATGTTTTTGGCGCGTCTGGTCATGTGACGTGAACGCACGAGCAAGCTTCCGACATTCTTCAGCGTGTGCTGCTGCTCGAGAAACGGTAGTCATCTCTGAAGGGTCCGGTCGATAAGGAAGAATAGTATCCATTGTTGATGATGGCTCGCGTCCACAAAGAAGAAAGAAAGGCGAAAATCCAGTGGTGCTTTGCGTTGCAGTGTTGTAAGCATATGTCACAAAAGGCAGTATGCTATCCCAATTTGACTGGTCGGATGAAGCGTACTTGGCCAGCATATCCCCAAGTGTACGATTAAAACGCTCTGTCATCCCATTAGTCCCATCTCGAATATAGAAAAGGAAGAAGACTTGCTGTGATCGCAGGCTTGCGTTCAGTTAGCCCTTGCGCTCAATAAAGCTTTCGTTCGCCGAGTCAACTCCTGCTGGTTCAACACCCCGTTTCAAGTGGTGGAAGTGCTGGGATACATCTGGTCCTCACCCTGGAGCTTCGTAGCCGCACACTCCAACCACCTTCTGCGATGACTGATCCGGGACCGTCTCAGGCCGCCACTCCAGCTCTCGCACCCATACCTGTCTTCTGCGCTGGCGCTCTCCGGCAGCGCGACCCCCCCCATATTTGGTGGCACAGAGGACCAAGATGTGGACAACTGGATTGCCGAGTATGAACTGGTGAGCGCGTACAATAAGTGGAACGCAAGCCTGCGATCACAGCAAGTCTTCTTCCTTTTCTATATTCGAGCTCCATGCCCACTGCCCTCGTTACAATATATATATATATATATATATATATATAATATATATATATATATATATATATATATATATATATATATATATATATATCTATATATTATATATATATATATATATATATATATATATATATATATATAAAGGTCGAAACCCAGACACGAAACTCGTAAAAGTCTGACTGTTATATAGCTCAAGCAGGGCGATAGCATTTCGTGTCGTCGAATCACTGAGCCAGGTGTGGAGATTCGATGCTTCCTTTCAAAAGTTACAACGGAGTATATAACCATCAGACGATTTTCTGAGTGTGTCCCCGAGAAGTCTACCATTTTTTTTTCAAAAAAATTATCCAAAGATTTTTACAGTTTCTTTCTGTTCGCGAAGACAGTACAGACGTATATGTTCTGTAACCATGACGACAGTTATAGCGCGAGAACAAAACGACGACACA